CCACTGGAATCCCGCGGTGAGCCGGCCGAGCGGACGTATTGCCGCGCGCATCGTCCTCTCGTGGTGGCTCTCGTCGCGCCTCGACAACGGAAAGCTCGGAAGGAACACGTGTCCCTGGCCGCGACTTCACTTCCGCGAAGCAGCGACGCGGCACGTTTGAGCGTTTGCGCGTTCGACGCCAAGACGGAACGTGTGTATACGTCCAATCGCCGCGGGAACGAAGGTCGAAGCTTCAATGTTTACACTCGTGAGTTTACACGCCTTCTTACCTACTTCCTTTCCTTTTCCGCAAAAATAAAACGCCTGATCGATTCTATTTTGGATCTTTTGATTATACTCGCGCAGCAAAAGATATAACATTATTGAATCTTTGAGATGATTGTTTTTGAAACTCTGTATCACAGAGACATAATATCGTATTTTTATTAGTTATCATCTGCTCTTATAATCGCAAGATAACGTCAGCTAAATTTATAGCATAACTAAAGAGAGAAATAAAGCGGCAATAAAGAAATATTTTTACAGGAATATATTTCGCGTGTATAATTGTAGCCTCCTACGAGACTTGGGTTTCGAAGAATTAATTAATTCTATTTTACAACCATTGCCTTTCTATATATTGCTAACGCGATTAATCAATTAATTATCAACTATCAATTATTAATTAAAGCTATTAACTGTTCGATAAAATTATTCTCTTACTGCTTACAGTTGTGTAATGTGCAATATAGGTAATAATAATGCTAGTGATAATTTTATTGCACAATCGAATATTGTACACGTGATGAACAAAGAGATGAAAAATTCAATGAAAGAATTGAATGTATTAGTATTTATAGTATCGGTTACTTAACATTCCCGTCAATGTGGCCGCAACAAATAGGACGGCTCGGTTTTCATGTTGGTTAGTACATGTAATTACAGCACGTGTCCTCTTCAAAGCTCACATATTATGACTTACAATCCACGTCAGATCTCAGAATAGATTTCTACTTACAGTTTTATATAAGTATCATATCTCTTGACGTTCATATATGTACATTTTATTTTATATATAGTCGTATTCAGCTGAAAAGAAGCAGCTGCTGTTGTAAAATTCTTTAATATGATTGGTTATATTTAAATCCAGTGAGGAATTAAGTGCACGAAACAATCACATTTAAAAAATCTTACAGCAAGGCCCGACAGCAAGGCACCAACGTATTATTTTGATTTTAGACGAGGCTTTAAACTCTTTCTCTCTCTTTCTTAAGGTTTTAAAAAGAAACAAACACAATTTTAAGTCTCGAGGCTGGATCAACAATGTGCTCTTTGCTTTCGGCTTTTTCTTTTTACCTCTTTGCAACTATCGACAATTGTGTTTTTTGTCATATGTTTCTTGTCTCTAACGAAATTTATCAACATTTATTTCGGGCGAAAATGAAGGATCAAAATATAAGAGGCAAAAAGGCAATGATGATAAAAAGTGGTAAAAAGCAAAAAACAAGATGCAAAGAGCAGAGATTGTCGGTCCAGCCTAAATAACATTAATGTAATCAGGCCCAAGTTGCAAAGCTGCTTTTTCTGCTGAGCACAGCCTATGTATGTAATTTTGATTATTCAAATGTTTTTTTTTCGCGTATTAATGCGCGGCATGCAGAGTAGGTACTATCCTAATACGATCATCTAATCTAATTTAAATTTAATAACGGAGAATAATTCTAATGCATGTATTGCGCGTCCCGCGAGTAAGCCGAGATGCCCGCAGGAGATCTCAAAATTTTTATTAAAATTATTCGCAATATTTCGATCCTTGGCTTCCTGCGTTGGAGCATCATTTGTAATGTGAGTGTATCAAAGATACATTAAGCCCGCTCGCAACATATTTGTTTGCGATCGTAATTCGAAACCCAGACGCGCCAGTCGCTTCTCACTCTCACTCTCTCTCTCTCTCTCTCTCTCTCTCTCTCTCTTTGTCTTTTCTTTTTTGTTTCTTCTATCTATCATCAAAGTTTCATTCCTTTCCCAAGTTTGTGCCTATGTCTTTTTTTTACAAAAAGAAAGCTATACGTGGAACTGAAATGAACGGATGTTTTTCTCGCACGATTGCCGAGTATCAGAAGAAACCGCGATATATTGAATCGTACGTTAATTATTTAACACTCGACGCGATAATTATCGGGAAGTGATACATTGACCCGTCGGGATCTAGTCTCTCTCTCTCTTTCTCTCTTTCCTTCCTTTTTTTTATCTTATGCACGCGTGTAACTATAAATTCAACGTCGGCATTGCTAGCCGCGGGGGGTAGTAGAGCGCGGGACGTATCTCCTTATCGGCCTCAATTGCTGCTCCTCCCTTCTCCCTCTCACTCTGTCTCGTCGTGCGTGATAGTAATTGACACGTGAACGAGACTTTTCGCGAGGCGGTACAACGCACCATACTGCGAACGGCAGTGTCGTAGATATATCGACGGCGGCAGTGATTAATATTATCATAAATAAATGAGAAGTTGATCGTGAAAATAGAGAAAAAAAAAATTGTCTCAGTTAACTCGAACCTCGTCCAAGTACATATAACGCGATGACTGATAATGTACGCTGTTTTTGTCCCCCCTCCCCCCTCTCTCATCACTTCTATCATTATCGGGTGTTTTTGCCAGTAAAATATACATGCAATTTTGCATTTTCTACTGGAAACAAGTCTCGAGGACGCGTTAGTTAGGAAATGCAGATCCACGCGAAGTATGTAATAATATATACTGTAATCGGTGTTATGGTACAAATTCCTTTTTCGCTCGTTTAATCTCTCATCTTGTTATTACCCACGTTTCACTGTAATTTAGTATGCTATAAGTATAGCTTTAGTATCTAGAATATGTAGATGATCTACAATTTATTTGGAATAGAGTGAAAGTATTTTTTTTTTCTTTCTCTGTGCTCTCAACGCTACACCAAAATTATACAGCACACACATATGCACTTGTTGGATTCGAGGTAAATCCAAGGTTAATTTAAATCAACATATTAGAGTTAAATTTAAATAACTTCGAGATTAGGACAGTACTGATGGCCGTTCCTCGATAAACAAGGAATAGTTTGCGCTGCATTACTTTACGCTGCATGTCGAAGGTTACTGTATGCAAAGTTATTTAATGATGAAAACATAGTATAAACATTTTGATAAAATATCTGATGTTAACACTGTGTTTTTTACGAAATATTAAATTTATTGAATATTGCATCGATCTGGTCTGTTATGCCTCTTACGCACGCAACAGTGGGGTAGAAGATTTGTTCTTTGTAACTGAATTTTTCGACTTTTTGTCATTCCTTTTTTTTTTACTTCTCTTGACGTCTATACTAACGAGTACTTACTTCACTTAAAATGTGGAAGTAATGCAATTACGAAAAAACAAACCTGAAAGCAATACACGTCGGTTGAATTCGCTGTTACACATATATACATAAATGTATAGATAAAAAATTCTTATTTATCAAGAAATGTAGTTACGCATGCTGTGTCCAAAGAATTGAAAACAAAATAAAATAAACGATTTGGTGTTAGATTTTTTCAGAATTCCAATTCTGTTAGAACACCTTTCGTGAGACTACGTTATATAATATATTTCATTAGAATATTATCGATTGATTATGCCAGTTTCTTGTTTCTTTTTTTTTCATGAAATGTGAATCTTTTATAAGGCTCTTCATTGATATTTCAATTGAGCTTTCACGCTAATTTAATCAAACTTAAATTATTAATTAATATTTGTTTAATTGTTTTTTTTTTACTTAATTCTTTTCAGTTTCGAGAATAGATTAATTTCTATTATAGAGTAAATAAAGCAACCAATCTCTTGAGTAGATATTAATTTTAATGATTCTAACCGAGTTATTAGTGAAGTTTGATCGAATTAAACAAGACATCGAAAAAGTGATTTGCGTATTTGAGCTCCTTTTTGCAGATATGTGAGTGAAGATAAATGAGAGAGAGAGATAAAGAAATAAAGGACAAAGTACAACTTGCAAATTTTTATCCGTAATATCCCTGCCGATCTCTACAGCCAAACATTAATAATATTAATAATATCTTAGAGCCAAACGTTAATTACATCTCAATTAAAAATAATCCGCAGTAAGCGGGGAGTCGTCGTAAAATATTTCGCGCTCTTTATCAATGACATAATAAAAAGTTATGAAACTCCTGAGAAAAAAGAACGCGCCAATGATATTTACTTCTCGCCCGACGTTTCACGCGCGGCCACGTATGTTAAGCGAGAGAATCGGTCGGTGCAGCCAGACGTATCGCAAACAAGACGTCTGGCGATAGCACATGCGCGCGCGCGCGCGTGATTATTTCATGAGCCGATGGGGGGCCCTTATCGCGATATTTACGCGCCTGGATCGAAATTCGGTCGCACGCGGAGGGCAGGCGGAGCTCGTTGGAGGTTGGACGAGAAGAGAGTGGCGTCGCAGCTCAGTATCACGCGCCCGTCAGCTGTACTTTGTGCCTCGAACCTCTAGATAACCTCTCCGCGAACTCCCCTCTCCGTCGACGAGCGGAAAAGGCGACGGGGTATCGTATAAAGACCAAACTCGAAGGCTCCCTCGTCTCATTCCACGTCTGCCAAGTGACACAACAGCCAATGGATATTGGATTCACGCACCGTACGAAGCGACCATACGACTCGGAGGAGTTATTTGTGTATCGTAAGCAGTAGGGAGTAGCAGGCCGACGCGTAGCCGACGGGAGCTACCAGAGAGAGAGAGAGAGAAGAGAGAGAGATTTAGACCAGCCGTACCTTACCTTCGGCGCGGGTGAATTTAACTCGGTTCGAACTGTCAGCACACGGAGGAATGCAAAAGGACTGTCGAGATTGTCTGGGTATCCGGTACCGCATTAACTCCCTGGACCAGACCTGGAAGTGGTTGCACCAGACCATCGCCCTGCACGACTACCTGATCTCCATAACCGCGAGCGAGACCAACGTCTCCATGTGTTTCCCTCAATAGAGAGAGAGAGGCCGCTCTCTTGAGTAAGATCGACCATCTGATCCAAGGCTGATCTCGCACGAGGTGACATTTCGGGAGCCTCGCGGTGCACATTAGATCCTGAAATATATATATACATATATATATACATACATATATGTCATACATATATACACGCGCGTGACTTCGCGTCGCGGTGACGTGGATCCGTAAAACGGATCGAGTAGTCTGCGAAGTCCGACCGCTCGCAACCGACGCATATAATACCCAGGGACCAGGGTATTCCGCAATCGCCTATCTTCACACGCCACACGCAATGTCCCTGTCCGCTAGACTGCTCGCCGCTGTCAGGCGCTGCGCGTCGCTCGACGGTGCCCGGCACCAGGTGGTCGCCAGGTGCGCGTCGACGTGCGGCGCGCGCCGCGACAGCGACAGCACCATCAAGAAGTCAGTATTCATATCGCAATCCACGAATGTGTTCGTCAACCTGGCGCTGGAGCACTGGCTGTATCGCAACTTCGACTTCTCCAAGCATCACGTGCTGCTCCTCTGGCGGAACGACCCCTGCGTGGTCTTCGGCCGCCATCAGAATCCCTGGCACGAGTGCAACGTTCACGCGGCCGAGAAGGCGGACATTGCGCTGGCGCGCCGAAACAGCGGCGGCGGTACCGTTTACCACGACAACGGCAATCTCAACCTGACGTTCTTCACTCCGCGTGAGCGGTACAATCGGAAGTACAATCTCAACATCATCACGAACGCCTTGTTTCGCCAGTGGGGCCTGAAGAGCGTGATCAACGAACGCGATGACATTCTGATCAATGGAGACTGCAAGGTACTTTTTTAATGCAACGTATTTACACAAAAAGAAAAATTTATTTCACTTACGTCCAGTAATTCGAAATCAAGTATTAATT